TTTTGCTTATTTTCTTCAATCTCACCAACCTACATCACAATATCAAAATCACACATCTAATTATTTATCAATTATATAAATATTATATCATTAATTATTTATAGGGTGTCTGTTTCTGCTTTTCAACAGAAATCAAGCCGTTGGCAACATAATTCATGCCGTTAGGAGCCGCAATTTTTGACCAATTCTCTCACTGTAGGGCTGTAGGTTTGAAAAAAACGATAACATAATCAATTTTCCTTCCTCCTTACAGCGCGCTAAGACACGCCCTTAATTAACCAAAAAAAAAAATTACATCTTTATTAATAACAAATTAATTATTAAACAAAAATATTAATATAAACTAAGCAAACGTGTATTGCAAGTTGCTTGCACACACACACACATATATATATATATATATATATACACGAAAACAAAAAGGGGGAAGGAAAAAAGAAAAAGGAGAAGTTGTCGGCAGAAATAAGGAGGAAAAACGCACAGGAAAGGAGAAGAAAAGACGACAGCTGAAAAAGAAAAAAAAAACTGTGGAGAGAAGAGACAGAAAAAGAGCCAGAAAGAAAGAAAAAAAGAAAAGAAAAGAAAAAAAAGAGAGAGAAAAGGGAAGAAAGACAGCTGCCGACAGAAAGAGAAAAAAAGGACAGAAATAGAGGAGAAAAAGAAAAACAAGTATTTGCAGAGAGATTAGAGTTGGGAAAAGTAAAAAAAGGTAGCCAATGGGAGAAAAAAATACACATACATGGAGAGAGAGAAAAAGAAGGCAAAATTGGCTGGCATACGCGCATGAAGAAAAGAGACGACAGACATGAGCAGTTTCACGTTTCGTCAATTACTGGTGATATCGTTCCCTTTTACGTGTTTTTATTTTTACATTATGAGTAACTAATTTTCATATTAGAGAAAATAACGTAGTCGGCTTGTGATATTTTATTTCTCTATTTAAGATTTCTGTAATTTTTTTATGTGTTGGTTTTACTATGAACTTAATGCATCAAATTACTTGATCACTAATTTGATGATTATGTGAATCTCTTATGAATCGAGGGGTGAGTTTGAGATTTAGACTATATAGTAAAATTCGGTAAAAGAGAGAAAGAAAAGAAAAAAAAGAGAGGAGGGAAAAAAGACAGCTACCGACAAAAAGAGAAAAAAGGACCGAAATAGAGGAGAAAAAGAAGAACATTTTTTACGGAGAGATTAGAGTTGGGAAAAGTAAAAAAAAGGTGGCCAATGGGAGAAAAAAATACACATACACAGAGAGAGAAAAGAAGGCAGAATTGGCCGGCATACGCACAGGAAGAAAGGAGACGACGACACGAGCAGTTTTACGTTTCGTCAATTTTTGATGATATCGTTCAACTTTTGCGTATTTTTATTTTTACATTATTAGTAACTAATTTTCGTATTAGGGAAAACAACGTAGTTAGCTTGTGATCATTTATTTTTCTATTTAAGATTTCTGTGATTTTTTCTTATATGTGTTGGTTTTACTATAAATTTAATGCATCGAATTACTTGACTACTAATTTGATGATTATGTGAGTCTCTTATGAATTGAAATGTGAGTTTGAAATTTAGACCATATAGTAAAAAATTCAGTAAATTAGTATAACGTGTAGAGATATCTATACTAATTATTGTGTTCATAATAGAATTTTTAGAACTAGTGTTTCGTTTAATTAAAATTGATTTACATAGAGATATGTAATTTCATTAGTTAAATAAGCTCAATGAGAACTCGAGATGTGTAAATTGAATACAATAGAAGAATTCGATCGAACACTATATCTTCTATATATTAAAAGTGGTTATGTAACGGAATTTCTTGTTTTTAACGGAAAAACTAACGGAATTTGTTATTTTAACGGATTATGTAACGGAATTTCTTGTTTTAAACAGGCAGCTGCACCTTCTTTCAGTGTTTTTATCATAACTTTGTATTCCGATATCCGATTGAGGCGATTCAAAATGCGTTGGAAAGCTAACTCATCTGGCTACAACTTTGATTCAGACATCATTCTCTAATTCGATCACTTTCTATGCCAAAAATAGGTCTCAATATGAGACTAAAACATCGGAGCATAACTTTTCGGTTGGAAATTGATTTGTGATCATCTTTTGACTAAATTTGATTCCATTGATGTCTTCCTTTATCCAATTGACTCCGAGCACTCTCAAATCTTCATCGTGAGGTTCGGCACAACTTTTAAGTATTTACATTTTAGTCCCCGAACTTTGGATCCCTTACAATTTAGCCATTTCTCCAAATTTGTCAACTTTTGCTTATTTTCTTCGATTTCACCAACTTACATCACAACATCAAAATCACACATCTAATTATTTATCAATTACATAAACATTACATCATTAATTATTTAATTAACCAAAAAAATTACATCTTTATTAATAACAAATTAATTTTTAAACAAAACTATTAAATATAAACTAGGCAAACGTGCATTGCACGTTACTTGCACCTAGTTAAATTATAAATCTTGAATTAATAATTAATGTGATCAATAAATGAAATTGTTATATCCTAATATTCATTACATATTTAAATTTTCAATTAACCGTTGTTTGCAATCCTTTTATATTTTCAATTAATTAAAAGTAGTTAGGAAAAATAATCACAACCATCATAATTATTTACTTACTTTTATAAAAAATGTGTTATAAAAATTTGATCAAGTCTTGAAGTATACTCCTCGTGGGAACGATATCCAAACTAAAAGGTGCACTATACTGCTTATTACAATATCGTACACTTATGATATAAAAAACGTAACATCAGGGTATTGTACTAATAAGCCTCTTTTGCTTAAAAGTCAAGTTTACATTCGAGACATACTTTATACAATTGTAATTTTTAAGAACAGCAACCCAAGGCCTAGCCAAGATTTGATCGGTCCATGATTCCACTAGGTTTCTTCCATACACCTCGGGCAATTTCACAGGCTCGTCCTAAAAAACCAGCATCAGACGGAAAGAACTCGAGCTGCACCACTCCGTCCTTGGCTTCTTGTTTATTCCAAACCGGAATTTGAAATCAGAGCTGAATCCGGGAAAAATATGTGCATAAAATGACCTCACCTATCTCGTTCACCTGTATCTTCTTCCTGCGACAGAAGACACAAAATTTAATGTTGCCCCAAAGAGAAAAAAGGTAGAAACAAGCACAGTATAAAGTGATATGATACTATAAACATAATTGCAGCCAGCACTCTCATTAATAATATTGAAGAAAATAAAAATAATCTCTGATAAGCAACCGTCTTTGGAAACTGCCATCGTTACATGGCTATAGTTAATATTTTTGATTCCCAATAGGTGGCATTTTGTGAACAAATCTTCTAACAGATATTAGTATGAGAGATCTAAATATGCATACATGTATAATCTGGCTGAAGTTTTTCATATCATGGAAGCATTATTTAATGATAAAGGTGTGTTTGAGTCACATTATTTTGGAAGAATGTATTTTGGAATAGTAGATTGATAGAGAATGTGTGGTTAAAAAAGAAGGAAAAATTATTGCTGTGATGGAAAATATTATTTTATTGAAGAATGTGTGGTTGAAAATAAGTAGAAGATTGAGTTGCAGGGTGTTGCAGTTCATAGATTTCAGAGACGAATACCAACATTTTACTCACTTATTATTAGTTACAACCTTGAATCTAAAAGTCTATCAAAGAAGAGCTCCCTCAGTTTAAAAGCAAACAAGTTCGCTAATTAATTCAAAAGATGTCAAATAAGTGCCACGTGTGAATTGATGCACTTCTTGTTATTCTATATAAAGAAATCCTGCTAATTCACTGATTCGTGAGAAGATACTGAATTTTTGTATTCGAAAAAGGTTTTGAATATCGATTCTAAACAAGATAGCAGTTAATAAAGGAATCCCTAATCACAATTTTTCCAAATGCAAAAAGATAGTCATTGCACTATCAACCATATAAGGAGGATGGAGGTGGGCTAGATAAGAAAAGATATAGTCAATGACATTTTTATTTGATAAAAATTTAGAGACCATTATCCACCTCTACCTCGTAATACCAATTATAATTTTACACCTAAATTCCTTGATTGGTCTAGTTCGTTGTGCTAAACATAACCAAAATGAACAGAATAGGTGGGTTTCATGACAAATGATCAGTCAACATACTCCCTGCCATTGTTTCAAATTAGACTCAAATCCGCACAACTCAAAGCAGAAAAGAATCTTACGCAGCTCATACCAAGGGTAATGTATGCGAATGAGGTTGCCAACTTCAAGGTCAACATCACTGCATATTCTTGAGTTGAAAATGATAGTCAAAGTCCTTCCCCCGCTTTTCATTTCGGTTTGCAGGTTCTCCCCCCAATACGAGCTCTGCAGAAGCAAAACGTAACATGGCATAATTTTTTGCCACCATAAAAGGAGTGTGCATGAATAAAAATATCATATTTGTTCATGCAAATAACAAATTACGTTTCAGTCATCCATTTCATTTTCCATACTCCACACAATATTTTAGGGGATGACGAAACCCGAGAAACTGTCAGTTAAATCGTTGTCTGACAATAAAATCTTGTTTATTTATTAGATTGAGCATTAGCCTCGTGAACAACCAACAACAAGATTCTAATCATCATAAGTTCGGCACCTACACACTCAATTCCAAAGGATAGGAGTGTTATGTTTATCTTCGATTGAAAATTTCACAAGACAACTTCAAACTTCATTCAATTATGTAGTACATCCACAGTCTAAGACAGTGAAAGACACTACAGAACACCTTGCCAGAGTTCCACAGCCTTCTATTTCAAAAAGTTGCAAAATTTTTAAAGAAAACGAACTGTATGGTATTTCCAAATATCTTGAAAATGCAAGTGGCTGCAAGAGCAAGAGTTTGTTCATCATTTATTTCGTATATTGCTTTCTTAGTATGTGTACCTCTCCATCTCCAATAAAAGTGCAAGAACAAACAGTCAGCTTTGCCTCCAGAGACCTTGACAAAATTCTTACAGCAATGCAATCTCTTTGATCTGAAAAGAAAAGGTTTCAAAAGAGAAGCAGCCATGTGCAGCCACATATTTATAAGAGATTGTGCAATTGTTGGATAATGTTAGGTTTAATTTTACCCTTTGAACTGTCTTCTGCACATAAATTCTTCAAGTATTCGGAATCCCTTTCCTTCTCACTCTGAATTACTTGCTGCAACCTTCCAAACAATCCACAGCTGCAATTTGCCAATTGAGAGTGAGATTCTGACTCAAAGTAGAGGTATATTATCTACATTCTGCAGCTAACTTGCAAGATTTAGCCCCAGTACCCACCCCAATGGTCTAGGCAGCACTAAGTGTGGCCTCTCATCACTCACAGGAACAGTTCCAAAAGCTTCCTGAAATTGATCTACCATAGTCCTGGAAGGAATATTTGACTTGACACTTTGAGGGTTCTCCTGAAACAGAGAGTACAACAGTCAACAAGTAAATTTCACAGATGTCAAATCACAGTCATCGGAACTGCTAAAGGACCGTTTACGAAGGAAATACCTCATCATCACTGGACATTCTATTACCCAAAGCTTCAATTAGGTCATCACCATCCATGCTTCTATCACCTGATGGAGAAGAATTTCTATTTGGAATAATCTGTGGGTTCCTTCCTCTCTTCCCAATATCCTAGATAAAATATAAGATTGAATCTTCAATACAGAACTATGGAAGAAAAGAATGTTAAAGAAGATACTAACCATTTTAGAACTTCCTTGCAGCAGACCACTCCTCTCCTTAAAGCAGTCTAGAAATTCAGCCATTGAATGCTCTTTAAAAACACAGTTAAGGGCCTCAAGACTAACATGACACACTTAGACAGTCTGCTCTATTTCTTGTCCATGAAAAACCCACCTCATACCATCAATTGATTGGTTCACGTCTCTGTCAGATGCAGCATCGAGTTGATCTGGTAATGAAATATTGTCCAAAGATGTCCCATTCTCATTCTTATGCCTGACAACTAAAGGCAAATCTTCCTTGCTTGACTGGAAACCAAAAGAAAATTTGGGCTTGGCTTTTTCCCTGCCACCACCTGCAGCAGTCAAGAAGCTATTTGAATAAATTTGATCATAACTCTAGACCAACAGAAGAACAGTCTCAGAGTTAAAGTGATCTACAAGTGAGAGGAATTCAAATATGTTTTCGATTTAACCATAGGCTGATTCCCACAAGACAATAACTTTATACTCGATATTCTTCACATATTGAAAGGTGAGATGATTTATTTCTCTCTTTCTGTGCACGTCAAATAAGGAGCATCTTTGAGGAAGTGTGAGAGGATTTAATTGGTAAGGGCGAAAATTGAAACAAGATGTAAGAAACAAATAATTGACAGCGGCATGATTGCCTTGGTCACAGACCATAGATGCAAGAAACATAATGTCAACTTATCAACACAATATTGTAGGAAAGAGAAAAGATGTGATACCTTTAAAGGATTTGTTTTCTTTCACGAAGGCACCTCCAGAGGAGGAACAGCCAGAGTTTTCATATATGCGAACTAATGCCTCAACTTCTTGACTTGCTTTGGACCATGTACCACCATCATCCCTTTTCACTCTTCCCAGTGTATGAAGACTAACTTTCTTAAAATTTTAAACAGCAAAGTTAAGGACATGGTTTATCAAAGAATATAATAAAAATGGATTACATTTCTGACAAAAAAGTGACACAACAAACAGCAGCTATGAAGTGAATAAAGTATCTTATTAGCACACACCTCATCATCAAAGGTAATTTCTTCGTCGGAGTTAGAGATCGATGCCACCGTAGGTAAGTATGACGTTCCTTCATTCGAGAAGCAAGCAGAGATTCTTGGATGACGAACGGAATCATTCTCATCATTAAAGACAGGGTCTTCAACTTCATCATCAACGCAGAAACCTACTTGCCTCTGCTAACAAAAAGATTCAAGACGGAAGTAAATTTGAAAACCTCCAGATATTTGGACGGCGGCAAAAGAGTTGATTTATTCTCAAGGTAGTGAAAAGAAGGATTTCTTTAACCTTCGATTCCACTAAATCTGATTTCCAATTTTAATGAATTGATTTGATCTCTGCAGGAGGTCCAGCTAAATGCTACTGAGTCAGAAAAAAGTTGCTATCATAGTTTCAGGTTAATACCTCACAATATGAAGTGGACATCTTTTCTGTTGGATCAAGTTGGTAAGAATCTGCAGAGACACACGGGGACTAATTTTTCCAACTAAAGCGTGACACATGCTCATTAAAGACGTAGTTTTACATTTGAAATGTGTATAGAAGAAATTAATCACATGAATACCTCTTAGTTTCTCAAACTGTGAGAGAACTTGAATTTCCCCCTGCCAATGCACATTGTATTACGCACTATAGTACAAGAAAAAATACAAAAAACTTTACATTCAAATTGCAGGATTGGACTGTTAAAATCAAGTTGCTATTACCTATAAAAAATCATTAAAACGTCAAGTAAACATTTCTTTTACAATGGTTAAGAGTATCCACCTTGTTATCCATAGGTCCACCCAACGAAATACAATTTTCTGACCAATCACCCTCCAAAGTTTCCTCCTCTTCTGTTAGTTCCAAATTAAATCAAGAAAAAAATTTGAATAAAAAACCCTAGCAGAAGTCTAATTTATCTATCCAGATTTACACTGGAAGAGGTAACTCACCAGAGATACTCTGATCGGAATCAATGTTATCCTGCAAGTTTGTTCCAAATTGTAGCTTCAAATTAGAAATTCGATAACAATTTTGATTGGCTAGAAATAATGGGATAAAAAAAATTGCAATACGGAATCAAAAATTTGAGAGGAGAAACGAAAATTACTAACCGAGAGCCTGTTCTTCCTCCACATTACTGCAGTCTGATTGAAGAAGAAAATTTGAGAGAATGAAAACGTTGCGATCTATGATTCTATATTACCCTTCCTTCGACTGGGAAGTGAGAAGCGCGGGAAGAGAACATGGGTGCTGGATTTATGACTAAAGTCGTGGGAACAATTGGCTGCCAATCAAAGTCGCTGCACAAACCCGATTTTAGTTCACAGTTACAAGGGAGTGATAGGCGGGTCCCTAGGCTTATTTGCTAGTTTAAAATTCTTTTTTTTTTTCTTTTTTCTATAAACGTGTTTCCCCCCTCTCTCTCTTCCTTTCGGAATCAAGAAAAGTTACTTATTAATGTAATCCTTACCTATTGCAAAATAAATAACTTATTCTTAGTTTTAATCATAAAACTTTATTTATCGTAAAACTTGCACACTCCCCGTCCCCGTTACATGAAAATATTAGGATTAACTCATACATGCTATGGATAGTGTTAATGACAATATATTCGTGAATTTGTAGGTGTGGAAGCCTTGAAAAGTGGTTCGATCTAATTGAATACTTGACTCTTCAGAGGATTAGGAGACAAGCACATGATCAATTTGCATTGGAAATTGATTAAATATTTTAGTGGATTTACGCAATAAGTCAGATCGATATATCAAAGTTTTTAGACGACTTGTCAAAAGAGACCATTAACATCAAAATATACTAAGCCGAGTCAAGAGTTGAGAAACGAAAATCCTAAGAGAAGAAATAGGGTTGAGTGGCATTCTAGGGAAGTGCAAGAGAATAAAAAGTCTAAAGAGTGGTCATGGTGATGATGATGGTTAGAGTTGGTGGTAGCGGTGGTGGTCTTGTCGGGATGGGGTGGAAGCAATGGTAGATGTAGGGAGTTGTCTGAGCTTTATAATTTAGCTCCTACTTGATTTTCGTTATTTCAAAACTCATTTTTTTTTTCAAATTAATTTTCAATCACACATTTTCATAATAAAATATTTTGCACGTAAACCAAATTTTTTCTTATTTTTTAATTATACATTCTTATAAAATTACTATTAGAATACTCATTTTGAAGAAATAATGGGCATCAAACATATGCAAAATTTTTTATATGTAATTTTTTTGTTTTTTACATATTAGCTAGATTTGAATTTTTTTTTAGAATGCTCAGCGATTCGCAATTTGATCTATAAAGATGAGCCATCTCTATTTCTATCTATTGCGGAAATATATGACTAGCTAAAACAATTAATCTACAAATCTTTCAATTTTTCACACAAGATTAATAAATTCATAAAAACTTTCTATCGAACAATAAAGGAGAGTAGATGATATAAATAGATGAAAGAACTGAAAACAATATAATCTTAATGAAATTTTCTACTTTCCCGTTCGACAAATTAATTTATTTGAAATTTTTTTTTTTCAATTCTCAATATTTTTATCTTTGTCTTAACTTTTTGCTTGACCTCTAAAAATGTTTAAGACTGTAGTAAAAAAAAATAAAAAATTCATCATGTTTAAAACGATTACTTAACTCAGATAATTACCTTTTTTCATTCTTTAGTCATGGAATACAAAATAAAGAGGTTAAGAGCGCTAAAAATATGTATTAAAGATTTTGAACAACGTGTTTTGAAATAAAATTTTATATATCTTTTGAAGAAATTAATTGTTTAATAAGTGTCCTTACTCGAAAATAAAGTAAAATTATAAAGAATTATAAAGTAAAAGGATGAAGAACTTACTTTTATTCGAAGATTTTTTTGCTGAACAAGTTTACGAGAATTGAGGGTTTTTTTAGTACAATTGCTATATTGGTTTTTTTTTTTTTTTTTT